CTGTAAATATAAAGAAACAAAAATATTCAAGTTAATTAAATGTTTTTAATGTAAAATGGTATATATTTTATGCAGAATTTTACACCATGTTTTTTTCAAATGCATAAAAAATTTTAATTAAGAATATTAATGCGTATTCTGCTCGAACACGGTAACTCGAAATACGGTACGCTTTTTTATAAAATTATGCAGAAAAGTTTACCGAAATACCAAGTTACCGAAATTGGTTTAAATACATTTATTATAAATAAATAAGTAGAGGTAAGGTTGTGTAAATGCAAATGATTTCTTTGTTTATTATGTTAAGACGAAGAAGGGAAAAAAACAATGGTTCCTTCATAAAACCATAAATAAAATTATATTATCTTTTTAATGAAAGCTTTATTAAACGGACGCTGTCAGGAACGGGCATTTCTCTTAACTTAATTTTTCTTGAATGTGCATTCTAGTCCAATTGATGGCCGTTTACCAGACTTGTTTTGTATTATTATTTAATTAGATACTTATATTTGAAGATAGAAGTTGAATAAATCATTGAATAGCCTTTAGTTTAAGAAATAAAATACGTTAATACAATTGCCGAACGATAATTAAAAATTATTTTCCTTTTGCATACAAATGATTTGAATTTTTTTAGATGTCGGAATGATAAAAAAAGAAAAAGACACTGAATGGAGATCAGATCTATTAACGAAAGTGTCTAGAAATAAATGTATTTTTGCACGACTTTTACTGAAAGCTGGTATATCTTAAAACAATGTGAGTACTTTATTGTTCTGACATTACTCTGAATCTGGTAAACTGGCTCATTCGACTTAGTAATTGCACTCTATCTTTCCATTGATTCTTTCATAATCTACGTCTTAATTCAAAATTTTTCGAGTTTACCTTAAATGTTACATGGAAAACGTTCAAGATGTTAAGAAATAAATAATTAAACTGTTTCTATAGGACTAAACATGTACATTTTAGATTTAAAAATCGATCTTATTATTAATTGTCTTTTAAAAGATATTCGATATATTATTTTTATATTTTTATTTTTTATATAAAAGGATCCCCTAGCTTCAAAAAGAGTCTTTAGAGGTAGGTAGAGGTATAGAACATAAAAATTTTTTCACTTTTATAAATAATTGTAACTTTGAAGGTTGATGCAAAACCAAAGCACTATATATAGAATATATAGTATTAAAACGTATTGAAACAAAATTAACATTTTTTAAAGAATTTTTTTTATTTTATTTTCCAAATATTAAACTTCATTTTTATTCCAGAAATGTTAATGCAAATAATGAAAATCGAAGAGTTTACAGTAGAGTTAAGATTTCCATAAATTTCCAGAAAAATATATATGTAGATGTTATCTATTAGTAATCCTTTATTTTTCCGTTTTAAATAAAACCTTTATAAATACAACCATTATATGAGTAAATCGTTTATGAGGACTTGAGTAAATATTGTTTGTAGAGAGTTGCCATATGTTTTGAAATCACTTTCTAAGCTGAGCAAGTAAGTTATGGGAGCAATATAAGTACATTCAATGACAGATAGGAAAAGTTTTTGCAAAAAATATTGCATAATACCAAGTCTATAATCAAACTGTAAAAAAATTAAAATTAATTAATATCTACCAAAACACAATTTTTTTTTTTACCTTAAAAAATTTCTCACATTAATTAGTGTTGCCAATTGCTACAGAACAACATTTTCTGAGCTTTAAAGTAAGTTTTGTTGGATTTGGTGGTATGTTTGGTTTTCAAATTATGCTAAAGATATAAAACGATAAAAACGAGGCAATTACTAAATATAAGCCAAACTTTCTATTCTGGATCTTGCAAACCCGAATTCAATAATTGGTAGAATAGTTGAGTACCTCATTGGTTTTTGGCAGATTTTAAGTGTTCAACTTTTCGCAATGGGCGCTGTTCACGCTTACAATCATTGGTATCAGCGTTAAAATATCTTCTACCTCTCTGATTCATATCTTTCGTATTATGTTTGTCTTCTTGAATAATCTGTTTATTAAGTACTTCCATTTGCTTATGTTTATCACTTTTTCCATCACACAATTTTTTTTTTGGATCTTTTGAATCACATTCAAAATGTTTTTTGTTTTCTATGTATTTTTTACTTTTAAGTCCATTTTTAGTAACTTTATTGGCTAACAAATCCTCTCGCTGCTCTACTTTAGGCTGTTTAACTTGCAATTTATGTGTATTAGTATCTAAAATTTTATAGTTTTCATGCACAGATTTATTTAAATCCATAGTAAATGTTACTCTTTTTTCCATTTTCTGTTCCAGGTTTGTTTTTGGTTCTTCTTTAATTTTATCTCTTCTTCCATCTTGAATCCTTTCATCTACTTTTTGTTGGTACATTGCTTCCTCTTTTTGTTGAGCTTTGTTGTTTAAGTCGGACTTAGCTATTTGTTCCGGTGTTTGTTTTACTTGTTTGCAGTTCTCATGGTTCAATACTGGAAATACGTCTGCTTTTTTATTTTGCTTTGACATCAAATTATTATTCTGTTCTTTATTTTTTTCAACATTTTCTTTGGTGTTCTCTTGAAGTTTTATTTCAACTAATCGCATTCTTCTTGCATTTTCTTCTTGCCTTTGCCGTAGTTTTTTCAGTAGTTTTTTATGGATTCGTCTCAGTTTCTCATTATCCTTTTCCACTTCCTCTTTCACTCTTAAATATTGTTGAATCCTTTCTTCCTCTACTAGCTGCTTTTCTTTTTCGTCATCAGTGTCTTCTATCTTTTGCAGCACTATATTTGGAATTTGTACCTGTTTTTCTCCCGTAATATCCACTTTGTCTTTTGCTTTGTGTTCTGGTTCACCTATATCTGGTGTTAAAATTTCTAGAGAATTGTTTTGAACTATTTCTTTTGGTTTATGTTCGAATTTTTGCACGTTAGACAATAACTTTGCTTCATTTTTTGATATAGCTGTTGGTTTCATCTTCAGGTTCTTTTCTGTTTCTTTTTTTGATAGTACCTTTGGTCCTATATTTAGCTGCATTATAGGAGCCACCTTTGTTTCCATTTTATGTTTTAAACTTTTCTCGTTTTTTCGGTGAAGTTGTGGTTCCATTTCTGATTCCAATCTGATATTCCGAATGTGTTTTGTTTTATCCACAATTTTTTCTTTTTCTTCATATTTAGGCTCAGATTTTAGTTTTGATCTATCTTGAGTACCGTGTTTCACTTTCTGTTCAGTTTTATATCCTACATTTCGTTTTTCTCGCTTTTCCACAGTTTCTTTCTTCTCTTTTTGGCGAACATGTTTATTTTTTGAAGTAAAAGAATAACTTTTCACTAACGTTATGTCGTGTCTTTTCTATAATTTTAGTTATTATATTTTAATATTAAAAAAGAAGAGATTGTTTATGAGAGCCATGTTATTCAGACAGTCATAATAACATCAGATGTTGAAACGATGTTGTTTGTAATGAAAACTAAAGATTTAAGAATAAGAGTAAGACCGAATTTTCGAACAAACTTTCGTCACTGTCAACAAAGTCATGCCTCGTCACGTGTGTCGAAATAGTGTTACTCAATAATAAATGGCACAAATTCTGTGTGCTTTTTACGAGGTTATGTGCTTATTTTCCTGTGGGTTTACTCACATATCCATACAAAAATAATAATAATTTTAAATTGAGGCACTTATGACAATTGTTATAAAGCACTCAATGATATGTCATGCCTCCGGGTGATGATCGAAATGAACGCGAAACTGGCGGACTATTTGTCATATCACTGTCTGTATAATATAGCCCCAGCAAGGGTGATTACGCTAACCTTGTTTTCCATACAATGTAAACTTTGGGACGTAGGTGAATCTAGCTCTAATCTCTTGTATAATTTCAATTCACTTAAAGAAAGAAGTTCACCGTTTATTTCTTTCTCATCTAACACTGGTTTATAGTTATTTTGCACATGAAAAATATCCAACACAGTAAGATCCTTTAGGGAATTTTTAATTTGAAACAAATATAAGAAGGGAGAAAAGCGAAACAAAAATATAAAACAGATAGACAGTAAATATATAGGCAGGAGGAGTTCTAAAATTAATACTCACATCTGTTTGAACACCTCGAGCAACATGTTTTTTTAGTTTGTTCACTTTTCGGTGTATGTCTGGCTCGGAACGAGGACGCAAATAAGGTTTATGAGGTGGAATTGCATCAACCGAAAACGGAATTACCATGGAAGTTGACCAAGAACTAGACTTTTTAATAAATTTATCTGACGATGAATCCATATTTGTATGACACCCTTAATTTTAAATTTCGTAAAAATTTCCTTTCGAAATTTTTGAAATTTAAAGAAGTTTAATTTTGGTTTTTTTTTTTTTTATTTCAAATTAAACGCAACTAAAATATATTTTGATACACAACTTTATTTTGAAAAATATATACTTTTTAAAAATATTCAATGATATCTTGATTTAATATGATGTAGAAATCGATCAAAAATATTTTTACTTTTTATATAGGAATTGTTTTTGTATATATTGTAGACGTAAGATCGCAATTACGATATCTGGGACCTACCAGTTTAACAACGGACCGAATGTAGAAATTGTATTAACTATTTGTTATTATTCTATATCACATTATTATAAAATGTGAGTCTTAAGAAAATGTATATTTAGATATTAATAATTAGATAATGACAAAAACGATATAGCAGTTATTGAAATCATCAAGCAGTTATTGGAATCATATAACAGAAGAGAAATTGGGACAAGTAATGTTTAAAATATAATAGAGAGGTTAAACAGAGATGTGTTTTATTACCACTTCTTCTTTATTAACAGTCTTAAAGGATTGCATTTTTAACACAATCCTCCTTTTTTATAATCCCCCTGATTTACATTTTGTTGTAAAATAGCGCCTAACACAATAATATACGTCTTGCTAATTCGCTCAGAAAAAGCAAACGTAACATTGCAGCTGACAGCAGTGCAACCAATATATAAAACAACATACATGGC